TCAGATGCCGTCACGCGGCCCTCAAAAGCCTCAAGGAGCCCTTATAAGGTCTCAAAGGGCCCTCATTTGGCCTCAAAAGGCCCTCCGCTAGCGTTAACCGGACTTCAGAAGGCCTTAAAGGGCCCTTATCTGGTGTCAGAGGGCCCCCAGCTAGTGTCAGAGGGCCCCCGGCCCTCAGTTGGCGCAAAATGGCCATCAGAAGGCCTCAAACGGTCCGTAACTGGAGTCCAACCGCAACGGTCCTCAGGTGGCGTCAAGCGGCCCTCAAAAAGCCTCAAAGGCCGCTTAGAAGGCAGCAAAGGGCCCTCATATGACCCCAAAGGGTCCTCTGCTGGCGTCAAACGGACCTCAGAAGGTCTCAAAGGGCGTCAAAGGGCCCTGAGCTCGTGTCAAATATAAAAGCGCCCTTAGCTGGTGTCAGGAGGCCCCCAGTTGGTGTCAGCGTGCCCTCAGCTGGTGTCAGAGAGCCCTCAGTTGGCATCTACTGGCCATCAGAAGGCCCCAAACGGTCCTCAGATGGCGTCCAACGGTCCTCAGCTGACGTTAAGAGGCCCTCAAAAAGGCCTCAAAGACCCCTCGGCTGCTGAAGAGGCCCTTAGCCTCAAAGGAAACCCAAGAGACGTTAAACGGCCCTAAAAAGGCTTGAAAGGGCCCTCTGCTGGTGGCAAAGGGCTCGCATATGACATCAATAACAGCTTTGTCAAAAACGGACCTGAGAGACCTTGCCGGACGCCGGTCCCTGGTTATAAGGGACTCCTGTCTCTTGCAGTAACCTGAGTGGCCCACGTTTACTGAGGGGCCCCTGGTTATTGAAGGAGTCCCTGGTTACTGGAAGGACCCCTGGTTATCAGAGGGTTCCCTGGTCACCTGGTGGGTCCCTGATCAATTGAAACCTCCCGATCATCTGAGCGCCCTCTGATTGCCTTGGTCTTGTCGTTGGCGTACAGTTTAAAGTCGTCGGCCCACTGCGGCCTCCTCTTTCTCAACAAGTCCCTCTATTTCTTCTGCAGCGAGGGCGATTTCGTCAAAATACTCCTCCATCGCGAAGCCTCGTGCGCAGACGCAGTCTTCGGGGCGCTCGCTGCGCCAACTCTTGACGCCAACTGACGGCCTCCAAATGGAACAGATGCACTGAAAGAAAAAATGACACCCTGTACGGGGTATTGACGGTCATGTCAAAAATAACACCCGAGTGGGGTGTTTTGAGGGGAGTCGCTGAGCTATTATAAATGGGGTGTTTGGCGTACACCCCAGGAGGGTTTCGACGCATAGTGGGGAGTCGCAGCCGCTAAAGGGGGGTCAGCGCCGGCCCACATGGGGTTCCGTTAGACTGCAGGTGACACCCCTCAAATATCAGCCGAGCACCCCTTTTTGGTCCCTAAGCACCCGACAGGGTGTCAAACTCCCAAATTAGGGTGAAGAATATAGCACCTCAACTCCCCTATTTTTCTGATATAACTCCCCATATTGTTCCTGACCCCCACGCGGGGAACCGCGCGCCTTCAGCAGGGAATCTCTCAGAGAAGTTTCACTCCCCTATACTTCCGAAAAACTCCCGGCGAGGATTAAATGTCCTTCGGAACGAGAATCTCAGACTATATTTATAACCGGGTGAGGAGTTACTCTTTCCGTTCTCGGCCTTGCGGCGCCCTGTAGTGTGCACGACCAACGTATGACACGGTAATCAGTCTAGATATCATCATGATATAGTTGGCCACTCTACGCTATGCACGCTTTTGCCTTAGCTCCAAACATGCACCAGCCATTCGTGAAAAACAGGTCCCGATTTTACCAACTTTAGTTTGCGCCATCTATCGGTAGGATTTGAAGCTGAAAACACGGGGTGTCACTCCAGGATAATGACACCCCAGAGGGGTTTCAACGGGGGTGTCTCAGCGACACTCCAATTTTTTGGCCTGCAATTTTTGGGGAGTTCGCTAGCCGAACCTCTCCCAAGGGGATCATGTACATTTTTGCGGCGTCAAAAGGTAATGGGGCTCCCGTGTCGGGTGTCACAACACCCATGACATCCTAAAATCATGAAAACGGAGCCTAATTTAGGAGTATTTTGGAGTATGTGGTGTCAGATTGTAAGAAATGGGGTTCCCCGATTTTTTTCAGTGTGGACTCCGAAACGAACGTGGGAATGCCGACACATGATCCCTCCAAATTTACAGAGGAGGAGATGTCCCTGACAGCCCATTTGCAATAGGGGTCACTTTTACACTATAGACGTAGGTATGGGGAATTCGACCTTATCGACATGGTACTACGAGGTCAGCTGATCTGCTTGGCATTTAAATCGTAGTAAAACTGGCATTTAAACGCTGCGAAACAACTTACGTACAACGTAGCTCCGATTTGCCGCTCTTTCTTTTTCATCCCTCCGATTTTCTTCCGATCAAGAGAAGTTTCGTACCGAGAGAAGTTTCGCAGCCACGTCCGATATAACTTACGATAGCACGGATCCCCCCAGCCTATGTTGGTACTTGTGGGCCCATGAGGTGTTCTTACGAGCCCTGTGGGGCCCTACTTAGTCCAAATATGGCCAACGTGGACCCTCAGCGGCCAATTGGCGCCGCAGGGCCCCTCAGGCCCGAATAACCCGAGGGGCCCCTGAACCTGATGGGGGGGGGGGGGCATGTGCCTCACGGGCCCACCTGGCTACGCCACTGACTGGAAAATCGTAAACCCATAAATATCGAAATGCGATCACCTGTCATTATCAGAGATTATTGTGATCGTCTGATTACCGCCAGAGCTTCGTAGCTACCGTTCCCTCCGCGCAATATCCGCTCCTGCGGACCGCAGGGGCTGCTGCACCGGTGCTAATCGCCGTCATCGGTTACTGTCGCCTTATTACCGAGGTGCCGGGGCTGCAACCAGCTGCCGGCAAATGTACGACTTTTTTTCGAAAACATATTTATGTAATAAGGTAGCCAAGTACCTACCAGGACGAGCAGAATGATGCTGAAGAACGTTCAATCTTTGTCCATAGCGCCGGTGAGCTATTCTCTAACTATCTCCCGGAGTCAGGGTGGCTGCAAATTTTTTTTTGCGCTGCCCTGGCTTGGCCGGACTGACAAAAATGTAAAAAATCAAAAAAAAATCCCGAAATCCGAGGAGAAAAGTAGGGGTAGCTCTTTTTTTTTTTGTTCCTAAGACTGGACGTTTGAAATTCTCGCCGACTTGCCTGGCGGCGCAATGTTTGCCCCCCCTAAACTCAAATCCTAGATCCGCCACTGCTTGACCTTGACCTTTGAATGACATTGTGTGCAACGAATATTGTCTTGGTAGTCTAAGAACACGTTTTGGGCAATCAGTCTCAGTCCATTCTTCGGCAACTACGGTGCAAGGCCGATACTGTAGAAACTTGCATTTTGTACCCTTGACCTGACCTTGACCTGACCTCTGACCTACTTAAGCAAAAAAATTTGGGCTCTTAAGATTCGCCTTGTTGAGAGCTTTCGATTGCCGTTTTCCCCGTCTTTCTACGACCATCGGTTCGGAAGTTAGACAGGGGGGGCAGAATCTGCCCCCCCCCCCCAGCAGGGCGCGTATGGCTGAATAGCCCAGCGGGGCGCGGGTTAAACTGTAAGCCTGTATTGGTATTGTTTCTTTTATTTGGCTGTCGAACATTATTTATGGTTTGAAATATGATTTTATGTAAAATAATTGATATGAAAAAACCGTCTCTTAAGTTATGACCCCATTTCACCACACGCAAGTGGCAGAAATGACAATGATCAGCTGACGCATTTTTCTTGGCCGAAGTCAGAGCGCGCGGCCCGACGCACCACCACCGCACCACAAAGGTATGAGCAGAAGCCGCGCCCAAAGCCAGGGCCCCGGTAACGTGAGGTAGCCGAGTCGGGGCAGCGTGCGCTGACCCAAGCCGGGGCCGCAGCTTTGGGCGCGGTCTACCGCATCCCCGCGGGCAGCCCCGGGCTATCACATGACACCGGGAGGACGCGCGGCCCCGGCTTGGGTCAGCGCACGCTGCCCCGACTCGGCTACCTCACGTTACCGGGGCCCTGGCTTTGGGCGCGGTCTACCGCACCACCTAACAGGCGTGTTCGAAACCGCAGGAGATGATGATGAACGGGTTTATCGAAACTTGATTGTATGAGCATATCGGTAATAGCGATTTCAGTGTGTGCATTTATTGTTCATAGTGGTGTAAAATGTGGTTGGGGTACGACCGACAACCCGTCGGGGCGAATTTTGCACCATGGGGTACTCAAAATTTGAAGAATTTAAGACGTTTCCATGGGTTTTGAAGGTATGGATAAGTTCTAAAAATCCGGTTCTCCTTATCTGGGCCATTAACTCCATACGGTCTAGGAAAGCTGGCACACTACCTTTAAAACTGTTGAACGTTTGCCTGTGAATCCCTCGTTTTTCTTCCTCATGTCTAACTCAGTTGCCAATGACCAAACAATCAAAAGCATGATGCAATGTACATTGTACAATGGTAGGTATGAGTAAAATAACGAATAAATGGCCTAACAAATAAAGGAAAATGAATGCCTGGCTAAATGAATGGATGAATACCTGAATAGATAAATGAAAGAGTGAGTGGATGAATAAATGGATGAATTACTGAATGAATGAATGAATGAATGAATGAATGCATGAATGCATGAATGCATGAATGAATGAATGAATGAATGAATGAATGAATGAATGAATGAATGAATGAATGAATGAATGTATGAATGAATGACTGTATGAATGAATGGGTAAATAAATGAATTGCTAAATTAAAGAGTGAAAGGATTAATGAATAAATGAATAGTTGAATGAATGAATGAATGAATGGCTGCCCAAATGGATAAATGAATCAGCGAGGGACGTGAAGAAAGAAAGTGTCATTCTTTCTCACTAACCCTTACTCCCCCCCACCCCCCACCCCCACCCCCACCCCACCCCACCCCCATACACACACATAGCCCATTCCATCTCCTCCAATTTCCCCCTATTCCCCCGGTAAATCTCACCGATTCTCTCTGGCAGCGGCCGACCCAGCACCTCGACATAAGTAGTGGGGAAGATACCGGTACGGTTCCCCAGTCGGCCCTCGTACCAGTTGGAGTCCACACGGCGGAGAAGGGTCACCAGGTCACCTGCGGGGGGCACAGGGCAACCGGAGGTCAAAGAGAAGCGTCGACCTCATGGAGAAAAGCAAAAGGGTCGCGAGGTCACCTTAGGTCCCGAGGTCACCAGATCACCTGAGAGGTAGCAGGGCGTCAGACGGAGGTCAAAAAGTAGTATCGACCAAATAGAGATGAGTAGAAAGGTCACCTGAGGGGAGGGCTCGATATCAGCGAGGTCAAATTGGAGTGCAAACTTCAGAAGGAATGTCTGAGAAGAGTCTGAAAATCGTCTGACGACTTATGTAGAGGGCAGGGATGTCAAAATGAAATATATCATTGTTTGATTTGAGTGACGGTGTATGTTTTCTTGGTTGGTGATCGCCTAGTTTCAAATTCGAAAAATTTCAAAGCATCATAACTTGTTCATTGTCTCATAAACACCTCTCATCCGTTCTTTCTCTTCTCATCTCTTTACCTTCCTCTTTTCCTTTTCCTTTCTTCCCTTTCTCTTTTCCTCTTGCCATTTTCATACATTTTCATACTCCATCCATCCCCACTCTCCCTCTCCCTCTCCCCCTCCCTCCCTCCCCCTCTCACCTTTTTTCAGTGACAGCTCCACGGGCGTCTGTGCCGTGAACGAGTAGCGGGCCCGGGCCTGTCCCTCGGCACCCAGTTTGGGCCGACCGCCACGCTGAGAGTCGAGCGGCACTACCTGGCGAGGCGTGAGAAGCGTGTTAGTTTCATCATTTATTGTATCGTATGCTGTATTTTTATGTAAGTGTTTCCTTACAACGCAAAACTCGTAACATTGTGCCTTGCTTATCTTTTATGTTACCCTTCTCACCCGTGTTCCATCCGATTTATCCTTAGCTCCTCCCCACCTGTACATACATTGTACATAGTTGACGGAGAAGATGGCAATCCGTCCGTTCAACACTCCTCCCCCTCAGTCTCTCAATCTCAGTCTTTCAGATTTTGTGTCTTGTTTTGTTTTTCGTTAAATCTCATGCAACCGTACCCGGTGTGCCGTTTCAGAAAACCAGTAAATACAAAATAGCGTGTACAGAACTGCGTGTTGGAGAACGCCCCTGTGTCCCATCTCTAAATCTTCCCACCTGAACATAGTTGACCGGGAAGATGCCAATTCGTCCGTTCAGCTCTCCTTCCAACCAGTTCCTGTCCACTTGACGACGGATGAAGATGATGTCGCCCTTGTTGAAACACAACTCTCTGTGAGAAAAGAGAATGAGAAAAAGAGGTCTTTTGTGACAGCGGTTAAAGTAATTACAATTCAATGTCATTACATGATGATTTTAGATATAGCAAGCAGATTACGATAAAAACTGTTCAATTGTGAAGTGAATTCGATCACTATTTCGAAACATTTGTTGACAGCCACCAAGCTGTCTCACCAGCGTTTCGTCCGAGCAGTGAGAGCCCATGTTTTGACCTTGTGAGACCGTCCGTGCGTATGGGTCGTGGGATATCACTACCGCCCAAGTGTTATTCTTATTAGTTGAGACACGTCATTACTACTATCAGTACCCATTTGTAAGAGTGAGTCGGTTTATTCCGTCACCCACCTGTTGTTGATGGGTTTGAAGCCGTGCAGCGCGCGGGCCGCCAGTCTGGCCTCGCCTCCGCGGCTGCTGCGTATGGTGACGTCATCGAACAGATTGTCATAGCGGTTCAGAGGGATCGGCGACTTCTGAGACGGCCTGCGGGGGAATAGAGGGTCAGGTCAGGTCAGGTCTGGTCTGGTCTGGTCAGGTCAGGTCAGGCCAGATCAGGTCAGGTCAGGTCAGGTCAGGTCAGGTTAGGTCAGGTCTGTGGGTTTCAACAAGAGCTGGTCTTATGCAAGATCGTCCCGGTGGAACCGGTTTGCCCCGTTTGGACAGTCCGGTCGCCTCCCAAACGGTCACCCCAGAGAAGAGTTACGGGTCCTGGTGTGGACCCAGCCTCATCCACCGGTTGTCAGGTGGGCGACCGCCAGCCCTGAAAGGGAGCATGAGGGGGAACGCGGATTGTTTTGTCCTGAGAATGGCGAGGACGGATGTCGCAAATATTTTCCGTTCCATCCATTCTGTCTTTACATTCATTGCCGCCTATTGCTCGCCCCTCCCCTCCCCCCTCTAGTGACACTTGGTACTGAAAGCGGGGCGGGGGCGGAGCTTGTCGGCCGGCCGCCAGCTGATTGGCTAGCCGAACGCTCTGACGCCAGAGGTCAGGTCGCCAGCTGATTGGCTGAGAGAGCGGCCTGTCGCCCAGAGCGATAAGGTCATGGCCTCTGCCATGCGACGGCGGACTCTTTCGAGCAGGATTGGTAGAGCGAGTGCGCGTGATATGTGTGAGAGGTGTGAAACGTACTGAAGTGCTGAGTGTGCCGACGCGAGAGTGAGCTAAGGAATTCCAAGTGAGAGGACTGTGAACTCCAAACGAACTGTATTTCAGATGTGGCTCTAATTCAATCCATACTTTTTATGCTTTATATAATTATATGATTCAGCTTATAAGAGAAACGAGCGTTGACACATAATTTCTGGTTCTATATTGAAGAAGCATTTCGCGGAGACGCACAAACGGATCAGGTAAGCAAAGCCTGACAGTGTCGTTTCTTGTTCCCCTTTGACTATTTTAGTTTTATTCCGCCTCCTGGCCAGCACAACGATGCCTTTATTGACAGTTATCAACAACCAAGAAAAAGTATTATTAAAAACTATCGAATGAGTAAAAGTGTATATTTGCAGGCATAATTTTCTTTAGAATAGGTATACACATGCAGGATACGTCCCAAGATGGATAAAAGTACATGGCAGTGCATTCACTATTACTTACTTTTGATTTATAACTTGTAATTGTCCTTGCGAAAGCGAATGTAAAATCTTTATAATGAATTATTGCTGTCTTGAAATGGAAGCCTGCACTAAATTTCAGCAACATGAATGAAAGATAGTGCGTTAACGGGAACATAAAAAGTAAAGTAGGTACATAAAAGTTGCAAAGTTTCAACAAGGGATCTTACTATGGCTCATAATTGATATGCAGTCAGTTCAGACGAAGGATCAGTTAAGGTCTTTCTTTTCCTCGAATAAATTTGAGGATGGTTCTTCTCTGCATCGATGAGATATTGCGACAGTTCCTTCGGCATCAACAAATTCAGTGTCTTGACCAACAGTAATCACAAAATTCCCTCTCGTCAGTCGCCAGATCAATGGCCAGCGTTTACTGCTGCCGTAGCCTGTCATAGCCTCGTTACTTCATTTTGTCATGCCATCTTGCTGATATTGTTCGTCAGTTGAATTTCTTGGACATAGGGCTTCACACACACTCTCCCCTTCTTTTACTCTTTCTCCAAGGTGTTGATCACTCTCCCCTCTTTCTTCGCCTGATCTCTGATCCAATGCAGCCCATTCTTCCTATAGAACGTCTCATTCACCACCGCAATAGTAGCATGTTTAGGACCTCGCAGAGGCGCGTCCTGACCACCCCACCCATACTGCCAAGAAGAACAGACCTCGAATGGGAACCTCTGGTCTGGGTACAGCTTGTTCCTGGCCCGGAGGTACTGGTAGCGACCCTCGCCGTTGTAAGAGATGCCGTCATACAGCAACGCCTTGGTGGCAGGATCAGGAGGATACATGTCCAAAGAGACGCCCGAGTCAGGCTTCTTGGGAATTGGTGGAGGAGGTGGCTGCTTCTTCATGTGGTACTGCTTGTCGATGACGTAGCTGGTGGAAGGATGCTCGATGGTGGGTACTTTCTTGACGTTGAAGCGGTCACAGGGGACTTTGAAGTCAGCCAGCTGAGGGTCATTTATCATTTTGTGGAACTCGTTGTCGAATTTGAGCGCCCATCGCATTCGAGTTTCGGTTTCATTGTGGATGGATTCTTTCCAGAAATTTTGCCATTGAGTGTCTACGGGCATTGTTCGCGGCATGATTCCGGCTTTATTTGTCTGACTTTGAAGTAAAACAACACAATATTTTGTACTGAAACACAACTAAATGCTTGTCACTTATAATTTACAGCGGGAACGAACTAAAATTTGGAGCACGACTTGCCAATGATGCACGTCGATGAAAAGTTGTGTTTCCTTGCATTTGAAATTTAGGCTTATGACACGTGGATTGAGTTGTTTTAGGCCGCAGTACGGAATGTGAAGATACATTTGTACAATATATCGATACAAAAAACGACTATCCAATAACACATATCCATTTAACATTTAAAAAAAATTCACGCACAAGCCTTACTACATAATCAATCAGTATTTACACTGATCATGTATCAACAGCAATTGCGACGAGCTAATATCTATTTAAAAAAAAAACTTGTTGCGTTTTACGGTGTTGGAGTATGTAGCGATACTGCTTTAAATAGACCCCGCAACCCTGACCCAGCCGCCAATGGACTGCAATCCCAACAACGCCTCGACAGCTAGTTGAACCATCCACAGGCTGATCCAAAGGGGCATTTAGGCCTATCAACAACTGTGTCTCAAATGAATGAAAATGTGCATTTTTGCACAAAATAAAAAAAAATCAGTAACATTCGCAGCACTAATTTGCTTAGAAAGGTGTAGCACTACAGCCATGGTAACGAAATCCAAAAAAGAGTCATTGGAAAGTGGATAACAATTTTTTTCGGAGTGTGCTCCCTTCTAGAGTGACCTCACACGACTTTTCTGGAAGTGCCGATGGGTTTAGGGTTGGACTCATAGACCCGGGAACAGGGGGGGGGCAGCGGGGGCGCTTGCCCCCCCAACTTGAGAGCCGAGGGGGCGGCGCCCCCTCAACATTGAGGCAGCGAGAAAAGATCTTTCCTCCCTTTTCCGGACTTTTTTCCTTCTTGTTTCCTTCATACATACATCTACGCATCAACACAAGGCATTTTTCTTGTCATCTGAATGGCTTCTCCTGATACAGTAGGTATCGATTTGACAACATCTGCTATTGACTATTGTCATCCCGCTTTGATTTGGGCCTGATCGTGGCCATAAGTTTGGCAGGCCAGATTTTATACTGCACCAGCTTGAGTCAACTTTGAGAAATACATAACGTACAACGGTGGTAAAATCGTTGCTATTATAGGTATAACACAGTTTACCCGCTCCGGATGTGATGGAGGGGTGTGGGGCAATGAGTGCACTGACGTGGCGCCCTCGGAGGGCCGGTATGGGATTAAAGCTCAGCGACACTAAGGGCTTGTGTGGTGCCTTCGGTTATCGGTAGCACCCTCAGATTCACCGGCGTAGGGCCCTCCGAGCCGCCGGTAAGGGGCCTTTAGAGGCACTGGTGTAGGGCCGCCATGCAGGTGCCGGTGTGGGCGCTCAGATGTGCTAGTGTGATTTTCTCAGAGGCGCCGATGAGGGTCCTTACAAGTTACAGGCGTTGCTGTGGATCCTCATAGACGGTGGTGTGGGGCCGTTACAGACGGGTGTGGGGCCTTTAGTGCTGCTGACGCGAACTCTCTACAAGCCGGCAGGGAGTCTCAGTGACCGGCAAGGGGACCTTACGCCGGCAGAAGAAGTACTGTGGGGTCCTTAGAGACAGGCCCTCATAGGCGCCGACGAGGGCCCCACAGTTGCCGTTATGGGGCCCTCAGAAAATTAAGTGTGGGACCATCACAGGCGGGAAATGCCCCTAGAACTGGCACCTCATAGGCCGGTAAGACCTCTCAGAGGCCAGTAACGGGCCTTTGGAGATCACCGAGGTGTCCTTAAAAGCCGCAAGAGGCCCTCAGACGCCGGCGTCGGACCCTTATGGAGATTTTAGTGTGGCTATTTAGGGCCCATGAGGTGCTCTGACGAGCCCCATGGGGCCCTTCTGAGTAGAAATATGGCCATCGTTAACCCTCAGCGGTCAAATGGCGCCGCAGGGCCCCTCGGACCCGAGGGTCCCCTTTATCCCGATGGGGGGGGGGGGGGGTACGTGTCCCCTTAGACCCCTAGGTACGCCACTGCTTCATATGCATCATGTCAGGTATTTTAGGCTCGCCCCCCCCCAACTTGAAAATCGTTCCCGGGCCCCTGGGGTTGGTTTATGCAGAGAACCATAGGCGGCGGAACGGGGAGGGCACCGGGGCACCGTGCCCCCTTTGATTTTGACATTTTAACATTAGCCCTATGGGCGTTGCATGGAAAGAATGGGACCAAAAGTCGGCAGTGCCCCCCCCCCTTAATTGAAGGTGTTCCGCCGCTACTGCAAACTCACGTAAAGTTGTCGCCGTGTCGTCTGCGCTCGATATCGTTCCGCTCCTGAAGATGGCGCCGTCGTCGCTCCTCCTCCAACAGCTGTTCGGCGCAAACAGCTGGCGGCGCGCGCCAATCGTCACCTGCGTCACGCTCGTCACCACGCCGGCCACGCTGCGGCGAAACTGGCGCAGGAGAGAGCAGAATGTTGAGTAAAAAAATGGACGGCGAAAAGACAGAAAATGTAGGCTTTCCAGGAGAAAAAGGAAAACGTTCCGTATCACATCACTGCTTTATGAATGTTATTATTTGTGTACTATAATGTAGCAGCAATGAATAACGATGGCCTATTGACTTCCTATCTAATTTGTCATAAAAAGCTTAAGCGCAAGTTGCTGTTTATAGTACCTACACATGACACAGCCATATGAATCAAGCAAAATGCATGCAAGACGCATAAACATTGCCGCTTATAAACGTGTTTCACAATTACCGCTACGTGACATTTTTTATCGGTCATGATGAATATAATGTAACATGACTTAGATGTAGGCGATTTGGGGCGTGCGACAACTGCATCACTTATCGATACTGTCTGGAGATGTACAATAAGGGCATCACATTAAAAAACACAAAGGTAGGTTAGGTAAATAACAACCCCACTTTAAAAACGTTATTTGTTCATGTCATGCAGGTGTAGATACCTAACTTTGGTGAAATAAGATCGGTTAACGGTTTTATCATAATATTGTGCATGGAAACAGAAAAAAAAAACGGTGAGCAAGCGTTAAATGTTAAAGTAGAATTTAAATCGCCGTTGTGCAAATGCTGTGCGAAAAGGAAACAAACACTGCACTGGTGAAACATCTAAAAAGCAGCATACTAGGGACGTTCCAAAAGTAATGCCTCCTATTTTTTAACTCAAAAAGTTGATGAGATTGGAAGATGGGGGTGGCGTCATTAAAACGAACATACTTTTTTTGTTCTACGTTTATTTTTCTACGTAGTCACCACTACTCTCAATGCACTTTTGCCAGCAATGAACGAGAGCCTTGATGGCTGGCTCGTAAAAGTCAGCGCCCGCCGAGGTGGTCCTTTTCTTCACGGCGGCAATGACGGCGTCGTTGTCTGGGAAGCGCTGCCCACGTAAGCCGTCCTTCAGAGGCGCGAACAAGTGGATGTGGAAGTCGGATGGTGCCAGGTCAGGACTTTAAGGAGGGTGTGGCAGCATGTCCAGCCGAACTTTGCCACACATTCTGTGGTCTTCAGACTCGTGTGTGGCCTAGCGTTGTCATGTTGCAAACAGAATGTTTCTCTTCTTTTCTGGCCTTACGTGGGCTATCCGGGCCTTCAGTTTTGTCAACGTTTCAACGTAACGGTCAGAGTTTACAGTCGCTCCTGGTTCCAGGAAATCCAAGAGGATGACACATTGCCTGTCCCAGAAGACGGTGCACATCACTTTGCCTGCTGGCGCCCGGTGCGCGGACGTCCGGAGCGTGCTTTGTCTTTGACATCACTTTCACCGCTCTCAAAGCGACGGACCCATCTGCTAACTGTGCTCGCATCCACCGCGTCTGCTCTATAGACCTTCTGCAAACGTCGGTGAATGTCGATGGGTGCATTCCCTTCCCTGTGAAGGAATTCAATGACGCATCTCTGCTTCTGACGAGTTTCCGTGACGAACTTCGTTTACCAAGACGTCACGCGGTAAATAGCTGTGATAGAGAAATGAAAATTTAAAGACATGTGAGTTAAGGTTAAGTCATGATATGGTGCAAATTTCAACGCCCTCCGATCATTTGGGGCGGAGTTAAAAAATAGGAGGCATTACTTTTGGAGCGACCCTCGTAGATCGCCAAAATCAGGTTTGGCTTGTGGTCAAGGCCACTCACAGGCTCGCCGCTCCGATATGGCACTGGTGGACATCGATTTTGGAATCGAACCAATCACCGGCTCTAGAAACGTACCGTGTGACGTCATCAGATCAATTATAGCCACTTAACGGCTCTAGGAAGAAAACTGACCTAAGAAAAGTCATTTTTAATGTCGTTACCCATTACCCGATCAAGAGATTCACTAAGAACCAAGACGTTTATGAAAAAGCCTAGGACCTAGCGAACAAATATGGACAGACTTAGGCATGTTAAATTAGTTATTCACGGGTTTTCATGTTTTTCATTTTAAATTTCGACTTAATATATAGTAATAAAGAAACTTCTAAAGAAAGGAAGCTACAGCGGACTGATGCTCCTGCCAGAAACAGCTCACACATGACCGAAGACTACCAATTGAAAAAGAGTTTAGTGCCATAAATATTCGCAAATGTAAATTATTGTGCAAAGAGGTTTTATCTGAAGCAACTGTCAGTGAATTGTAAATGATTGACGAACGTAATTCATCGTGCTTCCAATCGATTGTCATAACTTGGTGCATTAGAGGTGCTTTTTATCAGGGCTTCAATTTTCTCACCTTTCCACGTGACGTTCCGTTTCCGGGTGCGCCAGCGGTTATAGGCGCGTACTGCGCATGCGTCACAATGCCAGCGCCGACTGCCGGCGTACGGCTGAAACCCTGGTTGTGCCGGCCGCCGACAGGAGGCACTAGTGGAGCGAGTAGGGGGAACGTAACGGCCCACCGGGCGGTGAATGGACCAATCACGTGGCTCGCCGGCCCACCGACTGCGCTGATTGGTTGCAGGTTCAGTGGGGGCGGGGCCAGGACGGGGAGGTTGGGGTACGGAGGTTTGGGGGGGAACCGGTCTCACTGGAACACAGGGAAGAGGCGTCGAAGTGATCAGAGGCCTCTCACTGAAGCTGATCTCAGACTGGCTCCGCCCACTGGCACTGCTGATTGGTCGGAACTGACGCGGCTGACCAATGGGAGACATCGCACCACCTTGCCGACCAATCGGAGACAACGAAACTCCGGGACGACCAATGGGTGAGCGGGATCCTGCTGCCATATGTCTCCATCGGGAATACAACTCCTCGTCGAAAGGACCGTACGCCTTTCCACCATCTTCTCCTCCGCTTGTTTTCTGACCTTGTCGCATCGGCTGTTCTTGCCAAACACCCTGACTCCAGCTCTGTCTGTTAGCAGCTTCATATCCCTGCATTCGGTTAGGACTCTGTCTCAAACTCGGACTCGACGTCGACCTCCTCGGCTGCGCTCTCTGCTCCTCTCTCCGCTCCTCCTGACTCTGCAGCTGCCGCTTCAGGCGGTCCACCTGCCCACGACGGACTCTCCTCAACGTCTCTCGTTCTCGCTCCACAAATGATCTCAGATCCTCCAGCTCCTCACTCTCGACTGTCGGTCGCCGAAGACGGCGCTGTAGTTCCACAATCTTCCCGAGGATCTTGGTACGGGAGATGTACGCTCCAAGCTGGCGGAGGTTCCTAGGTGGGCTCCAGCTTCTTGCCCTTCCACCTCTCGGGCCTACTCCGCCAGGTCCTGAGGAAGCGACAACAGCCTCAGCTGCATGAAGTTCTTCAGATTCTTCATATCTTTGTGCCAGGGATCGCACGGCACCGGCACGTGGAGCGCCCAGATGTGGAAGACTCGCCGCCTTGCTCAGTCGCGGCGCAGGGACAGGACGATGTCGTTCTTGGCGCGCTGTCTCCAGCATGTGACGAATCCGACGCACTTCACCTGGCGCTGGCTCGAGACGATTTCTCCTCCGTAACAACGTGGCCATCGCTGTGGTCGTCGTCGTCGTCGCTGGTCGCGGAGAAGTACAGTTTGGAGGAGGCGATGCGCGTCGTGGAGGTGAAGCACTTGGCACTCGCACTGGTGGCCCATACCGCCGCGGCGGAGAGCAGCTTCTTGGCCGGCGAGGAGGGGAGTACGACCATCCACGACCCACTGGGGAAACGGAACGCGATCGGGCGAAGTCGTCAAATGCCCGATGGAAGTCATCTGCGTACTGCATGGTGTCGTTTTCACCGAGTTGCGAGCGACGTCCGAGCTCTACTGACGAAGCAGACCGTTCGGGAACGTATTCGGGAGAGAGAAAACGTCTCTGGGTGCCACGATGTCGCAGGGTACATGGAAGAGAATTGAATCTTGTCTGATCATCGTTGGCAAGTTCTTGTCTACCGTTTGAGATCGCGTTTTCCTCTGCCTCAGCAGCAGCTGCAGCAGCTTCTCTTTCCCATTTATAAACAGCTCGAGGGACATCCCCTGCCTCCACTTCCCTTTCAACAACCGTTTGAGCTGAAGAGGATCGAGACAAAGAACTGCGGACTTCTTCTTCCGCCTGCACCGACATCGGACGACGCAGTCTTGCCTGACGTCGCTCACGCAGACGTTCAGATCTTTCCACCAGCTGCTGGCGCTCTCCACGAGTCAGACAGCTGCGTGGCGGTGGTGGAGCGGGCTGTCGAGTGTTCTGGGTTACCAGCCTGGTCTCAGAGCGTGACCTTTCAGGAGTGAGGACAAGCATGAACTCGTGAGGGTCAGTCCTGCGTTCGCCGTCTTCTGACAGGTCGACAGAATAACAAGTGCGAGGCGAGATGGCTGCCGAAACTGCCGGACTGGCGCTCTTGGACCGTGGTGGAGCCAGGCAATCCCTACCACGCGGAGCGAACCTCTCTGCGACTTCGCGCGAAAGAGCCAGTGAGAGACGTCGCTGTTCGGCAGCGTCCGGGATCTGATCGGGTCGCGCGCGATGGGCAGCATCGGTCTGGTCATGTCGCACCCGCTGTACCGTATCGGCCTGGTCGGTTCGCATCTGGTGTACGGAGTCAGCTCGGACCGGTGCTGAGGCTGCAGATGTGCGGTCCCTCGGTTCAGGTTCTGACGCAGGTCGAACGTGCAGTGACGTCACTGCTGCAGCTGCGGAGACTGAACCACCCGGCGCCACATCCACAAACTTCCTTGGCTCACTCTGGCTTCTGGTTGATCCCGCTTGGCTTCTCACTGACTCTGACCGGAGACTTGTCTGAGAGCCATAGATTCCGTTCAATCTATCTCTCAGACCCTCCATTTGCCTTGGTGATAGGGAGCTAAGAGACCTCCGCACCCTTCCAACTCTATCAGATGCCGTCACTCTTCCGTGCCAAGTGCCAGCTGACTCTTGCCGCTCTTGTTCCACGATGGAGTCAAACTTTCTCTTCAAGTCCTCCACCGACTTCTGGCGTCTCTCCAGGCTTCGGTCTCCTCTCCATCTCTCTGCAGGTTTTGCGGACACCCGACTGTAGAACTCCCTTCTCTTTTGCGCTTCATCCAACTGCTCGCAGATCCGCTTCATTTCAGCCAACGCGCGCTCCTTTGCTCGAATTCGTCGCCAGGCCTCGTAGCTGGGGAACTCCCTTCGTCCAGGTCTGCTGCACGTCTCAGTCAGCCTCTCCAGTTCCATCAACCTCTCGAGGCTGTGGTAGTGTCTGCGCAGTTGACGAAAGTGAGGCGACGCCTTGGAAGCCCGCAGCAGACGCAGCACATACAGACGGTACTGAAGCGGATTGAGGTGTGGGCTAGGACTTACTTCTCGTTGACTCCTCAGGCTTTCCAAACTGAGACTCAGCGGTCTGGATCGGCGAGGCTGGACTACGCGCGAGTCGCCTCCATCCTGATGACCGACTTGATGCATGTCACGACACAACGATGCACTGAGTCCTCGTACAAGAGGAGGAGACTTCATAGTCAGGTCGGGATTAGACAACGTGCTTCGGAGTCTCTCAAAGTGGTCTATGGCTTCGCGTACAGGAGAAGTTTCTCTCACTTGGTCACGTTTCTCTTGTTCCTCCATTGCGGTGACCAGCCGTTCCAAGTTCTCGAACTTCTCTCGCAGGGTTGCTGTTGTCCCTTCAGGAGGTCCTCCAGCGAGACGAAGCGCCGTTTCGGTCGCTGAGAGGCGAGTCCTCAGCATTGGGATGTACGACGCTGCGCAGAACCATTTACCATCCGGCATACGGCCTTCTTCAAACCTTCCATCTCCTTCTCCGATGGCATGCGTCGGTCTCAGAGGCGGACTGACCTCCATACTATCATAACCCGTCTCTGTGCTCGTTGACAGCACTTTCCTTGGTGACCTCAGGCTGGAGGATCTCCGCGGGGAGAGAGCCCCACGCGAGTCTCCACCAGCGGAGGCCGTTGCTGGTGCCGTCGTCACCGCCACCGTTGCCGAAGTCGTCGTCCTTCCTGAAGACGTCCCTCCAGCCGTGGTGGTTTGTCTCCGCGTCTCTCCGCTCACAGTCCTCGGCAGGGTCGAGGACCTGTAAGGAGACAGTTGACGTCTCACTGGCACAACACCTTTCTCTGTGTTGGCGTGAGAGGTTGCGTGCGCCCCACGAGGGGTATCCACCCTGCCTGTCCTGAGGGCAGGGTTGGTCCCTGGGGCACGCGCTGAGGCAGTTCGAGTGAGCGGACGTCCACGAGGCGGTGCGGGGCGGCTACTGAAGCTGTGCGCACGGGCGACACCACGGGATGCAGTGCGAGATTCGGAACACGACTGGCGGGAGTCCTGATGGCCGTGACGATAGGTAAAATCATGCTGGCTTTGGTGATAATCATAACAACGAACATGACCACAGCCATACTTTTGCTCTCGGACATTTGGAATGTGCTGACGAGAGGAGCCCGTGCGAGAAGGTCCTGCGGTCGTCGTAGTGGAAGCCCTGGTTGACTTGGTGTAGCTGGCTGAGGACGACGCAACGAGCGAGGGGGATGACAACGCCGGACGAAGACGGGGCAACGACTGACGCACAGGACGAGCAAGGCTACTTGGCGGACTGAACACTCGATCTCGTTTACCTCCCGCGCCATCTCTAGTGTCTCCCTTCACAGATGACGCTCCCGACCGACCGGCTCTTCCAGCAGGATTTCGCCAGCCACGCGACGTGACGCTTCTAACGGGAGAACTCACTGACGAAGAGCACACAGAACTCGTTTTTGATGACTCTCCTGTCGTGCGTGGCGACTCGGCAGCGGCTCCAACAGTTGCCTTCTCAGAAACCGG